TGAGGTATGTTATGGTTGAAAGTGTGTGAATGGTCCATAGTCCCCCAGGCAGCTTTTAAAACATGAACCTGGGACCTGCACACCATCTGTGGCAGTAATGGGGTGACTGCTGGCACCTTTTCCTATCATTTTTTGCCTTGAGGTATTCTGCTTGTGGTGTGATCTGTCTTCTTTGTGGTGTGGCGTGATTGTGTTATTGGGTTTGTTTCTTTTAAAGGGGAAGTGATGTGTTGTGAGTGAGGACATATGTTACCTCAGAATACAGTAGTTCCCATATGCAACTGAAAATTCCAACTGCCTTGCGGGGGGGGGGAGTATGAGGTGTGGAATGGAGTGAAGTCCAAACAGCTTCCTTATGCAAAAGACCTTGAAGGTTCCATATGCAACTGACATTCCAACTGCCTTGCGGGGAGGAGGGTGAGTTTGAGGTGTGGAATGCAGTGAAGTCCAATCAGCTTCCATATGCAAAAGACCTTGAAACGCTGGGCGGGACTGCACAAAGCAGCCAGTCAACCCAGCCAGCGTCTTCTGACTGACAGTTCAAGCGTCCATACACTAAAGGGGCCAAATTTAGAATGTTCATATAGAATGTTCTTACTCAATTATATATAAGGAGAGATGTGACCTAGGGTTGCCATCCCCCCAATGGGGCGGGGGTTCCCCTGATTTCCAGCCCTCCGATCCACCCACTGGCCAGCTGCTGGTGGGGGAGCCCCACCCCCAAAGAGCTCCTTGGTGTCTGGCATGCAATGATGTCACCCGGAGGTGAAGTCATTGTGCTGGGCATGTTGCTGGGGGGGGGCACTCTAGCATTCTGTCAAAAAAACCTCTATGGTACCATAGAAATTTTTGACCAAATGCTAGCGCACACGCCTGGTGACGTGCTTAGTGTGACGACGTCACTTCCGGGTGATGTCATTGCGGTGCACATGCGTCAGGACATCCTTTGTCCCCCTGCTGGCAGAAGGTAGGGACCGGGCAACCCTAGTGTGACCACAGCCTTGATGTTAGTTTTGGATATAGGAGGACAGATTGAATTTGCCTCTCAGTGATGGAAGCATGAGCACACACAAGGGTAGACACAATGAACAGATTATGAACTAATGTTACATACTAAAAACAGAAATACTACAGAAGCAGGCCTGAGGCCTTAGCAGAGCCAGTATGCACATGAGCACCGTTTACCTCAGAAGAGCGATTTCAACCCCTAGTTTCAGGGACCATTCAGAATCCACACTAAGTACAATATTTATCTAATCAAGCAAAGATTGTGTGAATATGTTTCAGTGGAAATTTGAAAATATCCACCGTGCATCTACCTGCCAGAGAAAAACAAATCATTCTAGCTCATTACATTTACTTGAGAAACAAAATGGCAACATCCATCCCTCCTCGCTGTTGTCCCCCCCATTGGTTGCATGACTTTCCCCCTGCATTCTTTGTACGAGAGCAAAGCTGGGATTCTTGCTGCTAAGATCT